GCAATCTGGTAAGGCCCTTTATAATTCGGTTTTAACTTAGAACTGATTCCTATTTTTCCTCGATCGTCCCTAACGAGAATACAATCTCCTATGTTATACACTGTCGGTTTCTTGGAATGATTGTCCCGATACATCTTATTATATTCTCTGACTACCTCAGTTGCCCGCAATGCATTTTCTCTACTATTTTCTCTATCTTTTTCCAGATTCACGTCAGTATTGATGAGAGCTTGCGTAAACCTGGCTAGAGAACTATCATTGTGGCCACGTTGGTCGAAGCCAAACATAATTTTTACCGGAGTAGCTGTTAGCATAAAGCAACAACAAGCGTTCGCGAAGATGGTTAGGCGCGGGCGTGCGCGCGCAACGCCGACATAGTGTGCGGCGCGGGGGATGCTTGGCGTGTGATCGATGAGTGATCGGCATGTGATCGGAGTGTGGCATGGACAAGATATAGGAGTGCGCATGCGCTCGATGGAGAACTGGTGTGGTTAAGCGTGTGCTTGCTGCTGTGGTAATAAGCATTATTATAAGGTTCGCAGTCATTATTGATAAGGACAAGATTATACCGAGGCTAAGTGTTGCGAGCATATACAAGGACGAATTATTCTGTGTAACACCATCTACGAATAAAGCATCATTATTCATCTGAATATATATATATATATTTCCCCTTTTTGTCTAAGAGGTTATGGGCCCAGTACACGTGGCATAAAGATCGAACGATGCCTGATACACGGTTTAACATTACAAAGCTCAACAACACGAACTTCCAAGTTTGGAAGTGTAAAGTAGAACTGCTGCTCATAAGGGAGGATCTGTGGCACACGATCAGTGAGGTCAGGGCGACGGAACCGGACGCACAATGGCTCAAGGCCGATAGGCAGGCGAGAGCTACAATCGGACTGCTAGTCGAGGATGACCAGCTAAGGCATATCAAGGACACGAATAGTGCGAAGGAAGCGTGGACAGCGCTGCGAAATTACCATCAAAAGGCTACACTCACAAATCAGGTATTTTTATTTAAGAGAATCTGCAGCATGAGGCTTTCGGAAAACGGTGATATGGAAAATCACTTGAACGCAATGTTAGATTTAACGGATCAGTTAGCTGCATTAGGAGAAGTTCTAAAAGATAAGATGGTTATCGCATTAATACTATGTAGTTTGCCAGAATCGTACAATACGCTAATAACAGCATTGGAAACAAGGTCAGAAGATGAACTAACTATAGAGCTCGTAAAGAGTAAACTCCTGGATGAAGACAGAAGACGGAAGAATACAAGAGGGCACACAGATGAGCGAGACGATAAGGCTCTTAAGACGCAGTTCAATAAATTCACAAAGCCTACACCACAGAAACAGAACGTAAAGGATGTTACGTGTTTTTTCTGCCAAAAACCAGGTCATCTAAAAAGAGATTGCAAAAAATACTTGAAGTGGAAGGCAACGAAGGAAAAGGCACCAAAAGCGAATCAAGCCGTCGACAAGGAAAGTGAGAGACAGATCTGCTTCTGTGCTCGAAGCAGTAGCGGCAGCAAGGGAACTTGGTACATCGACTCAGGAGCGACAAGTCACATGAGCAACAATAAGGGCTTCTTCGACACGCTTCATGCAACTAAAGATGATGTCATAACACTGGCAAATGGTGACAGTGCGGAGGTGCAAGGCATAGGAGACGGTCATCTCATCTGCAAAGATGATAAAGGTAAAGAGAACACAATTTTAATTAAAGACGTATTATATGTTCCTGCTCTAGAAGAAAGCTTACTGTCAGTAAAGAAATTAACAGAAAAGGGTCTTGAGGTTAAATTTACAAAAAATGTTTGCTGTATTACGAAGGATAAAGTCACTGTGGCTACAGCGGATATAAATGGAAACCTGTATAAACTATGTTCTAATCAGGCGCTGATGGTTAAAAATAGGCACAAAAGGGACTGTCAGCATACATGGCACAGGAAGCTCGGACATAGAGACCCAGAAGCAATAAGGCAGATGGAAAGAAAAGATCTAGCGACAGGACTAAAGATAAAGGATTGCGGCATAAGAAGCGTATGTGAAACATGCATAAAAGGAAAAATGACCAGACAGCCGTTCGCGAAAAAATCATTTAGCAAGACAGGAGAAATACTTGATCTGGTGCATACGGACGTATGCGGTCCTATGCAAACAAAGACTCCTGGAAATAAGCGTTACGTATTGACCCTCATCGACGATTACAGCAGGTATACAGTCATATACCTCATGGAATATAAATCAGAGGTAACAGAAAAAGTTCGAGACTTCGTAAGGAACATGAAAACAAAGTTCGAGAAGGTACCAAAAATCATTAGATCGGATCGAGGAAGAGAATATGTGAACGCAGACTTAAGGAACTTTCTACGGAAGAAAGGAATTGAAATACAATACACTGTCGGGTACGCACCGGAACAGAATGGAACAGCAGAAAGGAAAAATAGATATCTCATGGAGATGGCGAGATGCATGTTAATCGACGCAGGACTACCAAATAAATACTGGGGAGAAGCAGTATGCACCGCAAATTATTTGCAAAACAGAACTTACACAAAGGTCACGGAAACAACGCCTTATGAAAGATGGCACAAGAAGAAACCATCGTTACAGCATATACATGCATTCGGGTCGAAAGCATATGCACACATTCCAAAGGAGCTGAGAAAAAAACTCGACGAAAAGGCAAAGGAATTCATATTCGTAGGATATGCGGAAGACGCCAAAAGATATCGGTTGCTAGATACTAACACTGACAAAGTTACGATCAGTCGAGACGTTAACTTTACTCAAGAAAAAGATGACTTGACGGAAGTAATCATTGAGATGAATGAGGAACAAGGAATACAGCATGATGAAGAAGAAACAAGTAATCAAGTGGAAGAAGTAAAAGATAAAAGCTGCAAGCAACCTAAAGAAGAAGCATCAATTCAGGAGGAGAAGGATGATGAAGATCAACTACGAAGATCGCAACGGAACAATAAAGGAATCCCACCAGATAGATACTCAGCATACTGCACGCAAGAAGCCGAATCGCTTGAACCGGATACATACGAGGAGGCAATAGCATCATTTAAGGGCACGGAATGGCTAAAAGGTATGCGTGAAGAGTACGACTCTCTTATAAAGGCTCGTACATGGACACTGGTGGACAAGCCAGTAGGTAAAAATATCGTAGGCTGCAAATGGGTCTACAAGACAAAGACAGACGCACAGGGACACGTCATTAGATACAAGGCAAGGCTGGTTGCGCAGGGCTACAGTCAAGAATGCGGCGTGGACTACGAAGAAGTATTCGCTCCCGTAGCGAGACAAACCACCTTCAGGGCGCTGTTAGCGGTAGCAGGGAAGCAGCAACTGGTAGTTCAGCACTTCGACGTGAAGAATGCGTTCCTAAACGGAGTACTAGAAGAGACAATCTACATGGCACAACCGAAAGGCTTTGAGGTGAAAAATAAAGAGCACATGGTATGTAAATTGACTAAGAATATCTACGGGTTAAAACAAGCAGCTAGGGTGTGGAATAACAAATTAAATGACATTTTCGTCAAGGAACAGTATAAACAAAGCCAGGTAGATTCATGTCTCTATACAAAAGAAATAGGTAAAGATAAAGTTTTTATAATAATCTATGTAGATGACATTGTTGTAGCTAGTAATGATGTAAAGCGTATATCAGAGATGCATAAACGGTTAAGTAATTATTTTGAACTAACAAATCTTGGCAATATTAGTTATTATTTAGGTATTAAGGTAGTGAGAGATAAAAGTGGGCTTTATAATATCAATCAGACAGGTTATATAGAAAAGCTATTAAAGACTTATAGTATGAAAAATGCGAAAGGATCTAGAATTCCATTAGATGTAGGATACGGAAAAAGAAAAGATGAATCAAGCAGGATAGAAAAGAAACAGTACCAGAGATTAATCGGAGCATTAATATATATAGCCACTAATACTAGGATAGATGTAACTGCGAGTGTGTCGATACTAAGTAGAAAAATGAATTGTCCTACGGAATCCGATTGGTTAGAAGCAAAGAGGGTGCTGCGTTATTTAAAAGGTACTAAAGATTTAAAGTTAATATTAGGTTCAGAAAATAAGGAAGAAAAAGACGTTCTGCTCGGATACTCAGATGCCGATTGGGCTCAGGATGTCGAAGATAGGAAGTCCAACAGCGGTTATTTATTTAAATTTAACGGCGGAACAGTAAGCTGGGCATGCAGAAAACAGTCGTGCGTGGCATTGTCCTCCACAGAGGCAGAATATGTCGCACTCGCGGAAGCATGTCAAGAGGCAGTGTGGTTACGAAATTTGTTAAAGGATTTCGGTGAAGAACAAGTACGACCAACTGTGATATTCGAAGATAACCAAAGCTGTATTAAGTTAGTTAATAAAGATAAATATAGTAAGCGAACAAAACATGTTAGTACTAAGTACAATTATGTGAAGGATCTAAGCGACACTGGTATTGTTAATTACGTGTATTGTCCAACAGAGATAATGATTGCGGATGTTTTGACCAAGCCACTTGAACGTGTAAAGTTAGAGTCCTTAAGACAGAAAAGTGGCTTAAACGAATAAGATGTGGTTGTTGAGGAGGAGTGTTAGCATAAAGCAACAACAAGCGTTCGCGAAGATGGTTAGGCGCGGGCGTGCGCGCGCAACGCCGACATAGTGTGCGGCGCGGGGGATGCTTGGCGTGTGATCGATGAGTGATCGGCATGTGATCGGAGTGTGGCATGGACAAGATATAGGAGTGCGCATGCGCTCGATGGAGAACTGGTGTGGTTAAGCGTGTGCTTGCTGCTGTGGTAATAAGCATTATTATAAGGTTCGCAGTCATTATTGATAAGGACAAGATTATACCGAGGCTAAGTGTTGCGAGCATATACAAGGACGAATTATTCTGTGTAACACCATCTACGAATAAAGCATCATTATTCATCTGAATATATATATATATATATATTTCCCCTTTTTGTCTAAGAGTAGCCTTTATAGCGGAATGGTAAGTATTGTTAAGTACATATTGCATTGTGTTTAACCGTTCTTTCTATTCGCTTGGAGTATCTATTAATTTGGTAAGAGATGACTTAATAAATCTATTCACCCTCTCAACCATACCATTTGCCCAAGGTGCTGCCACCGCAACCTTCCGATGCTTGATATTTTTGTCTTTAATGTATTCTAAAAATTCTTTTGATGTAAATACCGAACCCCTATCTAAAACTATTTCTTAAGGCTTCCCAAAAACTGATATTATGTTATTAATACAAATTAAAGCTTCTTTAGTCCCAGTAGACTTTGTAGGAAAAAGCCATGTGAATCTCGTAAAGGCGTCAATTATTATTAAAATGTGTTTATAATTGTCTGCAGATTCTTGTAACGGACCGAAGTGGTCAATGTGTATAATATCAAGTGGCATCGTGGGGAAAGGGTACACTTGTGTTTCCCCCTCAAAACGATTTGAAGAGCTATTTGACATCACGCAGGTGAGACAATTATTTATATAATCCTGTACTCTCTTTCTCATTGTCGGAAACCAGAAATTTTTACTAAGGCTTTGATATGTTTTCTCAGCGCCGCAGTGAGCTAAATCATCGTGGTGGACACGCAACATATTTGTCACCATTGACTCCGGAATTACAATTTAAGTCTATCTTCTATTTTTTTATATACCAAACCGTCATTTAACTCAAATTTATCACTATCTTCTACTTCTAGGTGCTGACTGATTTCCAGAATTCTTGGATCGGACAGCTGTAAAAACTCTAAACGCCTCTCCAATGGAAGCTCGTCTACATGGGCCACGCATCTGCTGAGGGCGTCAACGTGAGCCATGCGACTTCCTGGACGGTGCATTATGGTAAAAGTATAATTCTGAAGAGCCAATGTCCACCTGGCTATACGCGGATTCAGATTCGCCTTATTAACTGCATAAACAATAGCATTACAGTCCGTAATAACTGCAAATTCAATACCGTAGAGATACACGTGAAATCGTTCTATCGCACGCACTATAGCTAGCATCTCTAACTCGTAGCTGTGATAATTCTTTTCAGCCGCATTGGTGCCGGAGCTAAAGTACGCTACTGGGGACCATTTCCCCTCCTGCTGCCACTGCAACAGAATCGCCCCGTACCCTAGACTGCACGCATCTGTATGAAGCTGAGTCTCTGCGGAGGGATTATATAAACTCAACACCGGAGGTGAGGTCAATTCCCTCTTTAGTGAGTTAAACGCTTCTAGGCACGAACTATCAAAACTGTAAGGCACGTTTTTCTTCATGAGATTTTGCAATGGCCTAATTTTAATAGCGTAATCTTTGATAAATTTTCTAAAATAGTTGATGAGGCCTAAGAACCTTTGCAATTGTAATCGGTCCTTCGGAGGACTATAGATTCTTATTGCCTCTGTATGTCGCGGACTAAGTGTAATCCCGTTTTCTGAAATCCTATATCCTAAGAACTCTATCTCTTTTTTCAAAAATTTACACTTTTCATAATTTAATTGAAAATTATGGCTTTTCAAAATAATTAATACACGTTCTAACATTTCAAGATTTTCCTCGACGGATTCGGACGGAATCAAAACATCATCTATATATACAAGTATTTTATCCGCACGAATCAACGGATTGAGGATCCGTATCAATCTTTTCTGGAATTCCGCGGGTGATTCTGAATAACCAAAAGGTAAGCGAGTATACTCGAATTGACCGTCTGGCGTAGCGAATGCGAAATATTTAGTTGAATCCTTGTGTACTTTTATTTGATTGAAACTGTCTTTTAAGTCTAACAATGTGAATACTTTTTTATTGCTGAGTTTCGCGAGACAGTCTTCTATAATTGGAAACGGATATTTCTGCTTGATAACCCGACTATTCAACGGCCTCAAATCTACACATAATCTCATTTGCCCGTTCTTTTTCCTTATAGGAACTACTCGAGCACAATACGGGGAGATACTAGGCTGAATTATTCCCCGTTCGAGAAGATCATCGGTGATTTTTCTGAGTTCCAACCGCTCAGCATTCGCGAAACGTTTCGGAGCGAACGCGTAAATCGACGGGTCTTTAAGATGAACTTCGACGGTGTTATTATCTTCGACCGGTACGATATTTTGGTTTTTTATATGACAAACAAGTTTACTTAATTTGTCTTTTGTCTCGGTGTCAAATCTATGTTGTGATTTTTAATAATTTGTTCCAGATTGTTTTGCTCGGCCTCGATACAAAGCGGTAAATACGCAAACAAATTGGTTTTGTCTCGGTCGCCCTTCGCGCCTGGCTCATAAACAAATGTAAACTTTTCCTCAATTATAAACTCGCGTCCCAAAATTATGTCTCCTTGAAAGGTGTTCGAGTCGAGAACATACAAATTTACTGAAATTATCCGGTTTTCTAGGCATGATATCCCGATTTTACTTTTATATATGCCTAAAATTTTAAGTGGTTTATTTGACAAGTTCCGCAACGGACTTTTAATTTTTAATAATTTATTTCCCGGCTCTATAAATTTTTCCAAAATATTGTTCTTTATAAATGATACCGGACTACCGGTGTCCACTAACGCGGTCAAATTACAACGCCTGTTTTCCAGGTAACTAACTCTAATAAACGGATCTGTAACTGACAATAAAGTACGCTCCGCCTGGACTACCGCGACGCTATCAGACGCATGAGTATCCGCAGACACACTCGCCGCCGCAATTCCAGAGGAATTCTGCGCTCGCCCGGGAGTCTTAGACTCCTTCTTTTTTAAAATCGGGCAGTCGAATCGCCTATGCCCTCTTTCTTTGCAATAGAAACACGCTACCTCGTTTCTGCATTCCTTGAACGTGTGCCCTTTCTTTCTACAGTTCCGGCAGGCTCCGTCCATTGGCTTCGGCTGCTGCCCTTGGGATGACGGCTTCCTCTCCCAGTCCGTGGCGCCCTGGGTGATTGTCCGCATCCTCGCCAAAAAGCCTTCCAAAGTGTCGTCGGACACCGCCAGCGCCGTCGCTCTGAGTGATGTCGGCATTATTCCGCTCACCAGCAACTGGATCCTGTCACGATTAGGTATGTCCATCTGGTGCATCAGCGCCAGCTTATCGATGGCGTAATCTTTGAATGTCTCCTTGTTGGAAGTCCACTTCCTTGCCTCAATTTTTTGCATGGATCTATAAAATGAAATTTTCCTGTCAAAGATTTTTAATAACTCTGACCTCAAGCCGACCCAGGATTCAACGACCAGATCTCCCTGGACGTCAAACCATCGCCTAGCCGACTTGGTCAGTTTACTCGATGCTGCCAATAATGTCGCTCCGTCCGTCGCTCCGTGGACCTGAGCAACCTTGTCCACTCTGCGGACCCAGGAGTGGACGTTGTCGTCCTCCGTGCCACCGAACTCCGGGATTTGATGAGCCAACGCCTGCACCGCCGATCCTGACGACCACGACTCCGTCGAGCGCCGTCCTGCTTCCTCCTACGGGGACACACGAGGTGAAGTATCTCGCTCAACCTCCCTCGCCATGCCTGCCTGCGTTTGCGCCGGTCTCGCCTCCCTCTGATCAATTAGCAACTGGAGAATCTGTCCTAATGTCTCGTGTTGTAGCTACATCGCCGCTCCCATCTGGTCGTGCTGCCTCTGCATCGCCACCAGCATCTGCTTGAGGACATCCGCCGATTCCTGGGAGTCTCGTCGTTGCTGCGCAGCCTTCTTCGGAATAGCACCCGAAGTCGTCGGTCTCGGAGAAGCCAACTGCATCATCTCCTCGACCGGACCATGAGTCTCTAGATGTGTCATGATCACGTCTATGAGCGAGTTTCGATTTCCCGAGATTGGCAACCGATACTTCGATGCCTCTAATCTCAGCTCCTCGTGAGAGAGATTTTCTAATTGTGCTCGATCCATTTTACCGCGAGCTCGAGTTTTCATGCAAGTAGAATACTTTTCTCGTTAAATTTAAAAAAGCCGTTGTTTTAACAACTGTGTACCTGTGTTTTAACAACTCTTTTATTATTCTCTTTGTCCCAAATGACCTCTGCTTCTGGATCTCTGTGAAGCCTGAGCTGAATCCCATTTCTGAAGTTGAAAGATGATTCTTGTTCTTAATTTATTTCCTAAGTACAAACTAATGACTCCCGCACGTATATTTCTTATCGACAACAAACGAGGGTCACTATTTATATTTCGGGAATTGGCAACACTGATGTCATGTGAGTCCATCTGACGGTTCCATCGTAAAGTTTGACATTTTTGACGATATACGTACTCAGAACATTTTGTCATACGGACGCTATTTGTTTATTTTATATTTAGTTGAAAGTTTCGTCTCGGCAAAAAATGGAACTGAATCGTGAACATTTTCGTGCGATGATTTTTTACGACTTTCGACGTGGATTATCACAACAAGAGTGCGTCAATCAACTTAATTTGACTTTTGGCGATGAAGCTCCATCAAAAACCACTGTGTATCGCTGGTATAGTGAATTCAATCGTGGTCGTAGTTCGCTGTCCGACGAGTTTCGTGAAGGTCGTCCAAAATCGACTGTAGTGCCAGAAAACATCGATGCTGTGCACGAAATGATTAAGCAAGATCGTCATGTAATCTATTGTGAGATTGAGGCATCCCTAAGCATTAGTTCCACCAGCATATATACGATTTTACATGAACACTTAGCTGTGCGAAAGTTATGTTCGCGTTGGATCCCACATAATTTGACAATCGCTCAAAAAAAGGCTCGTGTCGATTGGTGCAAAGAAATGCTTAAGAAATACAATCGCGGTGCTCCAAAAGACGTTTATAAAATCGTGACAGGTGACGAATCATGGATATATTTGTATGAGCCCGAAAGTAAGCAGCAGTCGACTGTATGGGTGTTCTAAGATGAACCAAATCCAACAAAAGTTGTTCGCGCACGAAGCACTTCAAAGAAAATGGTAGCCTGTTTCTTCGGAAAAACTGGTCATATTGCAACAGTGCCTCTAGAGGATCGTAGAACAGTAAATTCTGAGTGGTACACAACCATCTGTTTGCCAGAAATCTTTGGTAAAATAAGGAAAACAAACAAGAGACGTCGGATTGTTCTTCATCATGACAATGCGAGCTCTCACACATTGGCTCAAACAAGAGACTATTTGAGCACTCAATACATCGAATTGATGGGTCATCCGCCGTACAGCCCTGATTTGGCACCCAATGATTTCTTTTTGTTCCCATCCGTGAAGAATAAACTGCGTGGTCAACGATTTTCATCGCCCGAAGAAGCTATTGAAGCGTTCAAAAATCATGTTTTGGAGATACCTCATTTGGAATGGAATAAATGCTTTGAAAATTGGTTTAAGCGCATGCAAAAGTGTATCGATCATTGTGGCGAGTACTTTGAAAAACAATAAAAATATATTCGCAGCTTAACTATTTGTTTTTGTTCCTACTCCCGAAATATAAATAGTGACCCTCGTATAGCGCTTCTCAAAAGAGAGTGACAGTTAGTCGCCGGTCTTTTTGGAGCAGAATCTTCGAACAGTGCCCCACTCCTGTTACGCTCCTGCTCGGATGCGCACGCAATGAACAGTTGTGAAAGATGTATAATACGCAATATGACGAGTTCCGCCGGACGCACGCATATATCTTACAATATATATATATATATATATACGAATAATTATACATTAATAGTTATATCTCTTAGGGATATAACAATTAATATTTGATAACAAGATATTTGTCACTTAAGTACATAATTTTAGCCTTTCTTTTCATTGCAATTTCATATATGATTTTATGATATTTTAGTTGTATTTTCATTATGTTTGTCACTATATTAAACGCTTATGGTGATACATAAATTATTTAGTGACATTATATAAGATTTTAAATTATATTACCTCATCTATGTTCAGTTATATTCTTATTGTATTTATTCATTTATTCAACATCAGTGGTGTTATAATTAAGCATATTATTTCTTTGTATTTGATGGTATCGTTTATGTATATCACCTGTCTATGTTCATTTGTGAATTGACTATATATATATATATATATATATATATATATTGTTATCAAATATTAATTGTTATATCCCTAAGAGATATAACTATTAATGTATAATTATTCGTATTACATCCGCTTGACGACGGACACTGACCGCATAAAAACGCATACGCTGCGAGATATACATGGAACCGAAATTGCTCAACGTGCAAGCAAAGCAGAAGGACTTTGAATCTGCTTCGCTTGCACCTAGGTTCTTGACCGAGGAGGCCCATTGCCAGGCACCCCTTCCGATCAAGGAAATTCCAAAAAGCGATATTATAAAAAGGGAGCTAGAGTCGCAGTCGCGATCAGTCGCTCTCAAGACGCTCTCGCGTCGTTAATTAAAACGACCTCGCTAGCCGCGTGCGATCTTAACATCTTCTCGCAGTCGCGCGCGATACGCGAAGTTATAGTTGAATAGTGCCGTTAAATAGATATACGCACAAGTGTATCATTATTGAAATAAAGGAAAGTCAAGTGGTGATGTGAATAAAAATTCTTTAATAAGTGAAAAGGTGAAGTGCATTTATTAAATCAACCCGATATAAGCCCTGACGCCCCGGATCCTCATCCCAATTTGGCGCGACCCCTTGTGCCTTTCACGAAGCACACAACATATTATATGATTGAGATTTGTGTTATGATTAAGACGGACAGTA